TTTAAATTTCCTATATTCTTCGTACATATTTCGCTTGTTAGATACACTGCTAGCCTGTCACACAGCTGTAAAATAAAATATCAATTCCTACGTCCCAAAATATGCAGTATAACAGTAGTGAGTAGGGTCATCTCCTCAGGGAAACAATAATTCTTTCTCTATTTGATTGATTATAATTATATTAATATATATTGGGGGGATTCAATTATCACACTAAATAAGAAAGAATAAAATTTACTCAATAAATGCAACTTAACTAGAATGCAAAATTAGCGGTTTACCAAATATAATTAAACTCTAGCACATACATGAATTTTTTATTCGGGATATGAAATTTGATCATCGACGAAAAGTCAAATTCATCGACTAGGTGGATAAATTGGTTATAGTTGATCTACACGCATTCACAACCAACCTTTCATTACTTTTTCGATAGCTAAGGTACGACCGTTAGCTATTTCTCTAATCAGGAAAGAATCCTAGGTACGACCGTAGTTTTCTAACTCGACAGCAGTAAAAAATAGAAAGGCCCAATTCAATTTAACAAGCTCCTACGAGGATCTGTTTAAAATTGATTTTAATTCTTCCCTAGAGTGTTCTTCTCTAGGTTGCTACGCCAATTGGAAAATTACACAATTACGTATGCCAATCCCCAATATAGCTATGAAATCCTAAATTGATACGTGCGCAATAATCAATTCAAGATTTCTAAACTCATCAATTAGAAGAATTAAAAATACCCAACATCGATGAACACCAATTTTAATCGAAACGAAGTCTCACAATTTCAATCCCGAACATTAATTCATACCTACACTAGAAATGAAACTACTCGCAATCCATAGCAATTAAAAACATAAAATAAATCAAAGAGTTCATCATGCCTTCAAGTTTAAAAATTGACAACAAACCAATTCTAGAAATGAAGAAATAGGTGCCCGGAAGTTCTTCTACATTGCTCTCCAAAGTTCCCGTACTTAGTGTTCTTCCTTCATTCTCTTCTCTTTCAGAAATGGGTTGTAGGTGAAATCGTGGTTTTACGTTTCTTCTTCCCCTTCTTTATTGGCCCTAACTCTCATTTTCAATTAATCACTTTAGATCTCCTTTGCACTTTAAACCAAACAATTCTAAAATTGCTAATTAACCCAGGAGGACCTTTTTGCAATTTTCATTCTTCCTGCTTCGTGATCACGCCCAAGGACTTCCTGCTTTTTGCTTTTCTCTCCAATATGCTCAAAATTTGCCAACTCCTCAATGCCTAGTAGAAAGTTCAAAAACACACAATTAGGAGTATATATACAAAATTCGCATCCAAAAACCGTCTAAAATATAGCAAAATATTTATCTAATATCGCATATATCAACTCCCCCACACCTATCCCATGCTTGTCCTCAAGCATATATCCAAACCAAGAATTGAAATACTCACTAGCGCAAAAGTCACTTAGCTGTGTTATCAATTACGTCAGATTCAAAGCATGCAAGAACCGACTAACCTCACCAAATGTGGAATGTATATAAGTAAAAGCTCTCACCCTCAAGTGTTTAGGCTATATTCACTCAATGCACATGAAGTAAACGACGAACCCCATAGGCTTGCAAGCAAATCAAATTAACTCCACAATTCATCAAGAAAATTAACGTTCATAATCAAAGGTCTTAATTAAAGGTTGTAATGGGGCCATGGTTCACTACAAAAAAAATAGTACATTTGTAATGGAATTCCGTTCCTAAAGTTCACGTAGCTAACGTAATTTCATCTCTAATTCCGTCTCTAATATCATTAGTAACGGAAAAAGTGAATTTAGGAACGAAAAAATTTCGTTACAAAATTGATAATTTCTTGTAGTGGTTGGGGTAGGAAAATGGATATCAATAGCTAATGAGACCGAGGAATTAATCTATCAATTCACCACATCAAAATGAACGCAAGTCGCACACACGTATGAATAAAAACAACATAACAAGAACAACACAATACTTCCCAAGATTTGATCAATGCAAGACAACATCATACTCACTTTTCTTTTCACGAGTCCCCTTTTTTTATATTTATTTTTTTGGACTCGGAATATTTTTTTCTCTTCTTTTTTTCACACAACCTCCTTTTTTTTTTTAGTGTTTTCTTTAGGAGGTTGGTCAATGAAATACTTTTAGCAAAAATATATATGAATTTATAATTGTGCCACAGATATGAGAACTTTCAAATGCAACTATCGAATAATATAGTGATCACTACAAAAAAATGTCAATTTTGTAACAAAGTTGTTTTGTCTCTAAATCCTTTTTTTCTGTTACTAAAGACATTAGAGACGGAATTAGAGAGGGAATTGCGTTAACTACACACACTTTAGGATCGGAATTCCGTTACTCATATACTATTTTTTTGTAGTGGATGATATACAACTCTAAATAATCTAATGTAATGAATCAAAGAACAATCCCTCGAGTTCCCATGGGTTCAAGTAGGCGTTTGGCTTAATCCAATAAAAGGGCTTATAGGCTCGGGGTTAAATATAAACCAAGAAAAATAAGATAGTACCATTAAGCTCAAATTTTGTTCACTAGGGGATAATATAGGTAAAGATATGAAATTAAGGCCAACATGGGTAATCCTAGTGCCTTATCATTTTAATCCCATCAATTCTCAATAAAAACAAAGTCAATAAGCATAAGCAAGCAAGTTCTAGGTAGTCAAATACAACATATGTTCACACAATCCCAAAAAAATTGAGCATATATGATATGTATGAGTGAATTTGCTCAAATAAGGCTCAAATAACTCACTTAACGTTTTTTGTTTTGTTTTTTTTTTATTTATTAGAAGGCTAAGCACACTCATCATCCAACTTCATCAACAAACACGACAAGATCCTAATGAATTAAGTAAGCACAACAACCTCGGCTCAAAATACACAAGAAGACATGCAGGGAAGTTATCAAAATAAAGTATTATATCGCATCAAAAATTCTAATCTCCCCCCACACCTAATTAGTACAATGTCCCTATTGCAAGAACAAAGATGAATAAAAGAAAGGAGAAAAGAAACTTCCCTGGAATAGGTGGGGGCGACCGGCCCGCTTAGGACTGGCGACGGGCGCTTATGTGTTGTTCAATGGAGTCCAATTTCCTTTAAAGGGCCGTTCTGCGTGCCAAATTTTCGACACTCGCACTTTGCCCATGGTGCCTATACAAAAGTGAATTCAACAACCAAATTATAATTCCTTAATAATTCAGCCCCGACACCCAACATCAATCTCAAACATGTATTCAATGTGCAATTGACAATTTCACCATCACAACATCATTCTCAATCATCTATATGCATCCATTTATCGATTGCATCAAAGAACCTCTATGAAAATTGCCCAAATTAAAATTCTTCATCATCAACTGATTTTATATAATATCTAGGCAATAATCGATAGAGGTTAACCAAGAGAATGCAATAGATTAAAAAGTGGGAGAACTCCTTGAAATCAAACCGGCAAACTGGAGAAGATCGAAGCAACGAAAAGGGCGGCACTGGCTGGTGGTGCGGACCGGCTGAAAAACAGCGGCGACTGATGGGTGACGTCGTGGAGGGGCGGTGGAATGGTGAACGGTTCAAACCGGCGGAGAAAAGAGGGAGACGGCGGCTCCTGTGAGAGAGTGAGGGAGAGAGAAAAAGGAATTAGGGTTTTAACGGTGTAATAATAATAATAATAATAATAATAATAATAATAATAATAATAATAATAATAAGGGTAAACTGTTTTTTTAGTCTCGTAACTGGACCCCTTTATCATTTTAGTCCCGTAAGTGGAGTCTGTCGCAAACTAGTTCTATAAGTGAAAGGTTTTCGCTGTTTTAGTCCTCCGGCGCCAGAGACGCCCGCGTGGCTTGCCGGAGGTGACGTGTCCGCCAGGTGTCTCGCCAGGTCAGCGACACCTAGCGGACACGTGGATTTATTTATTTTTTTAATTTTACCACATCAAAAAATAAAAAAAATACAAATAAAACTAAAAATAAGTTTTTAAAAAAAATTTTAAAAATGAAAAAAAAAAAATCCACGTGTCCGCTAGGTCAGCGATGATCTGGCGGACACGTCACCTCCGGCGAGCCACGCGGGCGTCTCCGGCGTCGGAGGACTAAAACAACGAAAAATTTTCACTTATGGGACTAGTTTGTGACAGACTCCACTTACGGGACTAAAATGATAAGGGGGTCCAGTTACGGGACTAAAAAAACAGTTTACCCTAATAATAATAATAATAATAATAATAATAATTATTATTATTATTATTATTATTATTATTATTATTATTATAATAGTAAGAATAATAAATATAGTAATAATAAAGTAATTATGGATATAGTAATAAATATGGAAATAAAAAATTAGGATTTAATTACTATAATAATAATTATAATTATAGAAACAATTATAAATATAGTAATAAATATCATAATAATTATAATTATAGATGTAGTAATAAATATAATAATAAGAATAAATATAGTAACTATAATAATAATAAATATAGAAACAAAATATATATATATATATAAAAAATAATAATCAAATAAAATTAATAGCTATAATAATATTTATTATAGAAATAATAAATAAATATAGTAATATTAAATTTAATAATAATAAATATAATATATATAATAATTCCCCAAAATAAATCTTCTTTTTGCACAATTTTTCAGAATGTAAGATTTTATTATGCGTGATCACGCCCAAGAAAGTTTTACGTTCTGATTACTTTAAAATTTTTTATCTCTCATCAATCACAACACACTGGATGCGTGGCCACGCCTAAAAACTTTATTCATTCTTCTCATTCCACCATGAACACTATACCTGCATCAAAACACCAAAAGAAGGCATGAGACTTACTCACAAACACAACCAAAACTCAAAACACACAAAGTAAAATTAAAACGCTTGGGTTGCCTCTCAAGAAGCGCCTTTGTTTATTGTCGTTGGCTCGACACAACATCTCTTAAGCTAATCACGCGGCTCAAAGAAAGCTACGCACTCCACTTCTTTGCTCTGAAACCCCTCATAGTAAAGTTTAAGATGATGCCTATTCACAACAAACCTCTTTTCCGTGCTTAGACTTTGAATCTCAAATGCACCATACGGAAACACGTTAGTAATCGAAAACGGACCTATCCAACGATAACGAAGTTTACCCAGAAAAATCTTAAGATGAGAATGATGAAGCAAAACCTTTTGACCAACATTAAAATCTTTTTTCAAAATATTTGGATCATGAAATTCCTTACTATTTCCTTTATTAATCCTAGCATTTTCGAAAGCTTTGTTCTGAATTTCCTCAAACTCTTGCAACAACAATTTTCTTATTTCTCCAACTTCAAAGACTTCCTGCATATTTTGATCAAGGACAACTACACAATACAAAGCATGAGTTTCCACGGGATCATTCGATTCATAAAAAATATTGATATGAACTTTTACACTTTCGAATTCTATGGTAAGTGTCCCTGTCCTAACATCAATTTTTGTGCGTGCAGTATACATAAAAGGGCGTCCAAGCAGAATAGGTGAAAGATTAGGCGAATTTTTATCATGCATATCTAAAACATAGAAATCAACAGGGAATATTAACTCATTCACTTGCACAAGAACATCCTCAATTATCTCTTCGGGGTAAGCGTAAGTTCTATCAGCTAGTTGAATCACTATCCCTGTTTCTTTCAAGGGCCCAATGTTCAAAGAGTTAAAAATAGACTTAGGCATAACATTTATAACTGTACCCAAATCTAGCATAGCTATTTTAATTTCCATCTTACCTATTTTGCATGGGACGAAAAACATACCTGGATCTCTGCATTTTTGTCGCAATTTTCTTTGCAGCACGGCGGACACAGTCTCTCCAGCTAGCACCTTTTCGTCCCCTCTCAACTTCTTCTTCTTGGTACACAGCTCCTTCGGAAAATTTGCATAACGGGGGACTTGCTTAATTGCGTCAAGCAAAGGAATGCTTAGCTCCACTTTCTTAAATATCTCCATGATCTCTTTGTCTTTATCGCTCTTAGCCGGTTTTGCTAACTTGTGAGGAAATGGAGCAACATTAACATTTGATTGAATAGGAGGTTTAGAATTCACATGATCAGTTGACTTGTTCGCTTCTTGCTCAATCTCCTTTTTAATCTCCTCTCCAGCTTTCTCTTTTTGTGCAACAACCTTCGGACCTTCTAGCTCCTTACCACTTTGCAAGACCATTGAAATAACATTGCTCGGGTTCATGTGGGTTTGAGCAGGTAGTTTTCCTTTCTCCATCTGTTTTATATCCTGCACCTCTTTCACAATTTGAGACATTTGATCTTCCAAGTTTTTAATACTTGTTCTTATCTCTTGCTGAAATTGCAAAACATTAGAGGCAATAGTTTTAACCATATCGTGCAAAGAGTTACGAGGACTAGGAGCTTGGGGCATGGTCCATTGTTTTTGCTTCTGCACAGGTGGTTGGAATCCCGATAGTTGTTGCTGTCCATAGGATTGCTGATTCTGATTCCCATATCGAAAATTGGGGTGGTCTCGCCATCCCGGATTAAATGTGTTTGAATATGGGTCATAAGCCCTTCTTGGTGCAAAACCTGCAGCATTCACTTCCACCTCTTCTCTTAGTGTGGGACAAGCATCCCCGGGATGCTCAACACTCACACAAATTCCACACGGCTTCACTTGAGCATTACCTACAACAAGTTTCCTCACAAAAGCAGTTAGCTCATTCAATTGTTGTTGCATAGGAGAACTTACCTCGGCAATTTCTTTCACTCTTACGACATCCCTTAGCCCAAATTGTTGAGAGTTCATGGCCATATCATTAAGCAATTCCCAAGCTTCTCTCGGAGTCTTGTTCATGAGAGCTCCTCCACTGGCAGCATCAATTATTCTCCTGTCAATCGAAGTTAGTCTTTCATAGAAATATTGAATTAGAAGTTGCTCAGAAATCTGATGTTGAGGACATCTACCAATTAACTTATTAAATCGATCCCAATACTCGTATAAAGACTCCCCTGATATTTGTTTGATGCCACAAATCTCTTTTCTCAAATTCATAGCCCGGGATGCGGGAAATAACCTTTCGAGGAACTTGCGCTTCATATCCATCCACGTGGTCACACTCCTGGCGGGCAAGTTGAACAACCAATCCTTGGCTGCATCTTTCAAAGAGAATGGAAAAACTCGGAGTTTTATCTGCTTCTCAGTGATTCCCGGTGGTTTCATGCTCGTACACACCACATCAAACTACTACAAGTGCTTGTGTGGTTCCTCACCTGCCAAACCACGAAAAGACGGCAATAAATGAATTAGTCCAGATTTAAGCTCAAATGCCGTATTATCGGCTATAGCAGGAAAAGTAATACACAATGGATGCTGAATTAAATCGGGAGCAGCTAGCTCCCTAAGAGTTCTTTGTCGTTCCATTGGATGTATCACAACTTCTTCAACTCCCTTGGCCACTTCACCCTCGACAGATACTAAACAAGAAAATATAGTTAAATATAAACAACCAAATATAAAAAAAATCAAATTACTGCTCCCCGGCAACGGCGCCAAAATTGCTAGCCTGTCGTATAGCTGCAAAATAAAATATCAATTCTTACGTCCCAAAATATGCAGTATAGCAGTAGTGGGTAGGGTCGTCTCCGCAGGGAAACATGAATTCTTTCTCTATTTAATTGATTATAATTATATTAATATATATTGGGGGGATTCGATTATCACACTAAATAAGGAAGAATAAAATTTACTAAATAAACGCAACTTAACTAGAATGGTTATAGTTGATCTACACGCGTTCACAACCAACCTTTCATTACTTTTTCGATAGCTAAGGTACGACCGTTAGCTATTTCTCTAATCGGGAAAGAATCCTAGGTACGACCGTAGTTTTCTAACTCGACATCAGTAAAACTAGAAAGGCCCAATTCAATTTAACAAGCTCCTACGAGGATTTGTTTAAAATTGATTTTAATTTTTCCCTAGAGTGTTCTTCTCTAGGTTGCTACGCCAATTGGAAAATTACAGAATTACGTATGCCAATCCCCAATATAGCTATGAAATCCTAAATTGATACGTGTGCAATAATCAATTCAAGATTTCTAAACTCATCAATTAGAAGAATTAAAAATACCCAACATCGATGAACACCAATTTTAATCGAAACCAAGTCTCACAATTTCAATCCCGAACATCAATTCATACCTACACTAGAAATGGAACTACTCGCAATCCATAGCAATTAAAAATATAAAATAAATCAAAGAGTTCATCATGCCTTCAAGTTTAAAAATCGACAACAAACCAATTCTAGAAATGAAGAAAAAGGTGTCCGGAAGTTCTTCTGCGTTGCTCTCCAAAGTTCCCGTACTTAGTGTTCTTCCTTCCTTCTCTTCTCTCTCAGAAATGGATTGTAGGTTAGATCGTTGTTTTTCGTTTCTTCTTCCCCTTCTTTATTGACCCTAACTCTCCTTTTCAATTAATCACTTTAGATCCCCTTTGCACTTTAAACCAAACAATTCTAAAATTGCTAATTAACCCCGGAGGACCTTTTTGCAATTTTTATTCTTCCTGCTTCATGATCACGCCCAAGGACTTCCTGCGTTCTGCTTTTCTCTCCAATATGCCCAAAATTTGCCAACTCCTCAACGCTTAGTAGAAAGTTCAAAAACACATCATTAGGAGCATATATACAAATTTCGCATTTAAAAACCGTCTAAAATATAGCAAAATATTTATCTAATATTGCATATATCATACACCCAGTCTTAGAGGTAAATAATTCATAATTGTTTGCATTGATGACTATTCAAGATACACATGGGTTGGATTGATTTTATGAAAGAGAAAGATTAATACATTTGATACCTTTGAGAAGTTGTACAAAATATTGATGAATGAGAAAAGATCAAAGTTGAATTGAAACTGGTAATGGAAAGAAGTTTGAGAATCAGATGTTTGAGGATTTTTGTGTTGATCTTGGAATACTTCATGAGTATTCAGCCCCAAAGACCTCAAAACAAAATAAAGTTGTAAAAAGAAAGAATCGAACCCTTCAAGAAATGGCTCGATCAATGATGCAAGCCAAAGGTGTTGCGAAATACTTATGGGCTGAGGAAATCAATATTGCATATTATGTGATCAACAGAGTATATATGAGAGCCCACACTGACATCACACTATATGAGCTATGGAAAGGAAGGAAGCCGAATGTGTCATACTTTCACACATTTGAGCACAACATCTTCCAACTGCTACATACTCCCCTTTTGCAGTAGATAAAACAATCGAACTTTGGTTCTAGAACTCCAGCTTATTAAATTCTCACTAATGTAGTAACATCCCCGTGTCGTACTCTTTCGATCATCACAGGCCCAATCGAAATCAGTTAATCCAATTAGATCAAGTGAAGATCTCTTAGAATATACCTTAAGATTAGCTTTGCTGCCTTCAAGTGCAATTCCTCTGCTTCACTTCAATTGAATTGCATCGAACTCTCATTACGAGTTAGTTCTGGAACCTGAGGTGGAGGGTTCTGAACCACAGATGATGTAATCTAATTTTGAACGCTCGGTAGAGGCATCAAATCCTCGTCATCCTCTTGATTGATTGATCTTCTTTCCACATATAAGTCATCAAAAGTAAAATCCATTGATTTCATCACTTTCTCTATCCTCTTGTTATAGACACGATAAGCTCTACTGTTGTGAGAATAATCAATAAATATTCCTTCATATGATCTCGAGTCAAAATTTTGAAGATAGCTTCTTTCATTTAAGATGTAGCATCGACATCCAAATATGTGAAAGTATGACACATTCGGCTTCCTTCCTTTTCATAGCTCATATGGTGTGATATCAGTGTGGGGTCTCATATATACTATGTTGATCACATAACATTAAATTTTGATTGCCTCAGCTCATAAGTATTTCGCAACACCTTTGGCTTGCATAATTGATCGAGTCATTTCTTAAAGTGTTCGATTGTTTCTTTCTACCACTCTATTTTTTTTGTGAGGTCTTTGGGGCTAAATACTCATTATGTATTCCAAGATTAGTACAGAAACCATCAAACGAATTCGATTCACCTTGATCTCTTCTCATTCTTTGGGGTGATGTTGTTTGTGTTTCCTATGTAGGACACAATCCCTCCTATCTCACTTAATCCTTTTTCACCAATACCAATAACATATTTTCTGAGTTCGACCCTCGTACTCACCGGTTAAAGATATTTTTTTTGACCAAGTTTTTGAAGTTACAATACGAATACGCACGATACAAATTTTATTTTATACATATATTATTCTTTTTGTATCTTAAAGATATTTTTGAATCTCCCAAAATTCACAGGAGAAAATAATTCCGATGCACAAATTATGCCCGTAGAAATTGGGCTATATCTGGGACATGATTTATCAAATAAATTTTAACTTTAAATGTTTTAAAAATATATTATGAATATATAATGAAATTAAAATTAATTATATATTTAATGTTTAAATTTTAATTATAAATAAAAAATATTTTTTTTATTATAGTTGTATTTATTTGATTATACAATTTAATAATATAATAATAGAGTATGATATTATTTTATTATTTTTTATATGAATAGTATTTTTATTTTTTAAAAAATAATAATTAATATATGACTCGCCAAAAAATTTAGAATATATATTTAAATATTTTAAAAATGACATCTCAATGAAATATATGCACAAATATCATGTTATAAAGAATATGATTTTATATGATATAAATAAATAAATTAATATAATTAATTTTTATTAAAGATGGAGAATTTTAGATATAAATAAAAATAAAGGAGAAATGTAAAAATAAAGAGATATTGAGTGAATTGTAAATATACGATATGTAAAGTTAATTAAATTAATTTATATTTATTAAATATATTTTAAATTAATAATTTTATCAAATATAAAAATATGTCAACTTAAGTGAAATAGAGAAAAAGAACAAATGAAATATATTTTTTAAAAAAAATATTACATAAAATATATTTAAAATAAAAAACTTAAAAATTGGACTGATCGAATCCGACCAGGATTGATACCTGACTGTTTTCCAGGATGAGATATTCCAGCAATTCTAAATGAGACTAACTGTTCGCGAGCTTGGCCAGTTCGATTCGTTTGAATTTGTTAAGAGTTCATTAGCTAATTTAAACTAGTCGAATACGAACAAAAAAATTGTTAAATCAGCCGAGCTAAAAAAAAAAAAAAATTCCAACTCGTATCTGTTAACAAACAAACATGAACTCATGATCGCGAATCCTTACTAACGGAGCTCAAAGATAACAAGTTCGAATTATTTGGAGCTCTTTGCTCTACACAAATTGAAAATGGACTCTGCCGAGGCGGCATGAATAAACAGGCCTGGCTCGGAATCGCAACCTTTAATTTTGATTACAGCTCTTTTAACCATTATTATTATTATTACTACTTATTCAGCCATAATCGCCCCGCTCAAACTGCATTTCTCGAACTTGTTAGCAGTTATTTCCATCTCCCATAACCACTCTAAAGCTTCCTTTGCTGGTATTACTATATACGAAAGATCTGTTGCAGATCTTTACAAAATTACTTGAATCATCAGTCTCTCCTTCACCACTCAAATCAAAGTTTCATAATCTGCAATCGATCCATTTCTTCGCATTCAATCCAATTTCAAAACAAATTTCTCCATACACAGATCTACTTCAGTTTCCATGGCATCTTCTTCCCAACAAGAACCCCACCCCTCATTACATCTGTACAATGACGACGATCCTCTGCCGGCCGTAGACGACGAATCGAACGACGGCGATGAGGCACCGCAGGTCAGAATCGAGGCGATTCCACACTACCTTGCTCTCGATGCTTCCGCTTCCATCTCTTCACTCTACGTTTTAATTCAACTGGTTGCGCCGCCGATGTCTGAATTCCGGAAAGAGCTCCGGCATGCTCCGATCGACCTCATTATAGTGCTCGATTCGAGCCAATGCAGCTTCGACGACTCGTATATGGCTCACATTAAAGACGCACTTCATTTCGTTATTCAGAACTTAGGCCCCTTCGACCGGCTTTCGATCGTGTCGTTCGCGAACCAAGCTCGGCGAATTTTACCGTTGCGCGCAATGAATGGCCGCGGGCGAAAACATGCGATGGCAGTGGCCGAGTCGATGGTGGTCGAAGGTGGCTCGGCGAATCTTGTCGAGGGGTTGAA